CTCCCCTCTCAAAGTGTTCTTTTAAAAGAACCTAAAAAGACAAGATAATCCTTGCCGTCATCTTTTTTTTGCGTATTAGTCGCATCTCTTTCGTACAAGTCGAGTGCTTCTTATTGAATGTTATGCCCTACACAATATTATTGATCGGGGGGCCAGCGATGACAAAGTCAAGTGTTTTATCTTATTCCAGATAAAATCGAATCTGTTATTTCCAGAGCAGAAGCTCGTTACTTGGGGAAGTTTGACCGCCCGATGTGGCAGTTGTACCACTTGCCACTCACCTGCCCGCCCTCATAGTCTAAACATTCGGAATTCCATTCGAAAATCCTATTTTCAATGTATATAAACTCGCGGTTCCAGGGGGGGAAGTTTGGCGGTATACGTTATGTTTACTTGTATAATGGCGTACTATCCACCTTTTAATTATCGCCTTGGGTTACCCTTCATTAAGTTGCATGTAGCGACGTACTCTCAGCCGCGCCTCTAATGTCGAATAACAATGTACGTAGTTGAACGAATAAATGAAACACTTTATTACGTCTTAATATTATTATTAATTATTTATTATTAAAACTATATTATTATTATATTTATACTTTAATATAATAATATTATTATTATAATATTAATATTAAATTAACACATGACCAACATATTATTTATTATTATTATTTATTATTTTTATTATTATTTATTATTATTATTGTTATTATATTCGTAAACAATCACATAGCTTGTTAACAGTCTTCAAAAGTGAAACAAGTACACATTAGCATGTATATTCCTATTGGCATGTCTCATTTTGCTAAAGTTCACTTTAACTCTTCTTAATTCTTCGGCTATTTGATCCTTTCTTCTTAGATCACGCCTCTGCTAGCATTTCTGCATGGTCGGTATCTGGACAAAAAATTGGGAACATGTGGAAAAGTATGACAATGTAATGGGCATGATAAATTTCCACACCTCTTCAAGGTGTTGGGGTTTGGCGCGCCAGCTCATAATTTGAGTTTTGAAGTACTTCGAATTGATCGGAACTCAACGGAGGATGGTTGTACTCTATGAGTGATACCAGTCCATCTGAAAAAGTTTTTACAATATTTCCTTGTTAGTGTCGTTCACTTACCTATTGAACAGCTTCAAGCCAATTGTGGGGCGGCAGTTCCTACCTACTTTCCAATTTGACCACATATCCTTAATAAAGACCCCGCCAGTTTGTAAAATATAGCTAGAAATTCTGCACATTTTATCACCCTCCCTTGGGAACCGTAATGTCTTCAGTAGCCAAACTTCGGCACATAATAACGGAAGTAGAAACACAAACTATAACAAAGATCTTCAAAAATACATATAATTACATATTATCTATGGAAGTTCACTTGATGCGCTTCACCAGTTCAACACGCGTTTCATCTTTCATAAGCCTTGCTGTATTTCCTAGGACCGACTGATCCTGTGATGGGCACGCTTGACGATGTGTAATGTTTAAGAATTATAATATAATAATAATATAATAATGATATATATAATAGAATAATATAATATTAGTTGTTATAATAACGATTAATTATAATAATATTAGTACTAATGGAATGTTTCAGTAATCTTCACTCCATTATTTCTATTCGCATTAGATCCGCTGATCAGACAGTCCCTCACGCAACTTAATGAGGTCCACGCAGATGCGAACACAATCGCTCATCCCAACTTAATGATGGGTCACAATCCAGGACTTATAATTAAATAGGGCCAGATTAGGCCTCCGCCCTAATTGCAATACACGTAAACTTACCGTATACCCGTACAAACAATAATCTGCTATACCGCGTTCCGATCATTGGGAATCATGTCCGCCTCTAACGGTTGGTAAAAACCGGCTATTGGTCACTGGCGGAGTACGCCGTACTGATGCGTTATCAATTACCCAGGAATAACAGTGGCATGACTAAATCTCCATCGGCCATTGTACAGCTCCATAGCTGTAATAGGCTATTGGGTATATCGCGCACTGTTTTTTTTGTGATTAATTTTGTCTTTCTGTCTTAAATGTCATTGTTAATATAAGTCTCTTCCGCTAAGTTACTGATAATTGTTCAAATCGTTGCGCAACCCTAGATATCAACCTCAGACCATCATACTCTGCGACAATACGACGGAGGAGAGAAAACATTGATTAGCAATGGGTTAATCATAGACCCACTAGACCACTTTTACCAGCCATAAAACTCAACCACCATAAATAAGCCCTATATACGTGTGGCGGGATTAGGACGTTTATGCAATTCAACTTTCTTCGCACTCCTCTCATGGTGGCAGAGTCGCTCAGGTGTGCACTCACTTATAGCTGGCTCGCTCCTCTACCTCTCATCGATACAGCTTTCACTCAGTTTATAAATAAATACGTTGTTAACACTACTCGAAGAATAAGACAATATAAATGTGAAGTAATAACTCACACCAAATGAATATTGAGTTTTAACCGATGAAAATAAAGTTTAAAAATTTAGTAGGAACACTTACCCTCAGCATTGCTTTCAAGCCAAAAAGCTTTACGTAACTTTAGTGATAATAGTCCAAATAATATTAAATAAAAAAAGTAATAATAAAAAAATTAAGTTAATAGTAGTATGAGTAATAATAAAGTAAGTAGTTTTAATAGTAAAGTTAGTATTCAAAGATTTCTTATTCGTGTGGACTAGTATTACCTTCCTGGAAAGCGCGCAGCAATATGAAGCCTACACTTTCAGATTCCTTGCTATGAGCTTAAATATGCCACAAACCAGTTTTGAAAAGCGAAACAACGCCTCACTGAACGACCTCCCTTCCAGGGTGGCATGTCCCCCTGATAACAGTCCTAGTCTCCTGGAAAACTACCAATAATATCTGCATATATATACCATATTAATAGTCTATGAATAAAATACTTCTTAACGATGACCTTTTTATCACATCTAGGATAATCAAAAGCGCTGACGGTCACATTCTACGAATTGACCTGCTTGAAGGCTGTAATCTCTTTATGTATTTATATCTTCTTTAAACGCAATCAGAAGCTTTCTATTTAAGTTGAGAAAAGGTCTCCACATTGTTATTTTTAACTTTAATCATATGTTTGAAACTTAATACTCATTCGGTCTTCACACTTCCTTATTCATATTTTCCAAGCTGGGTTATAACATGTTATAGGTGGCTGAACAGCGTACTCGATGAGAGGTCAGAAGGCAGCGAGCCAGCAATTAAGTGGGGTCACACCGCAGGCGACTCTGCCCACATGAGAGAAGAGGTGCGAAAAAAGTGCATTGCACAAACGTCACATACCCAAGGGTGGCCTTCCACGGGGCTTGAATGCAGAGCAGTCCGATCAGCTTCAGCTGCCACCTTCCTATTGGTCTCTGGGATCGGACTGGATTACGGTAAGTGCTCTTCCCCGTGATTGGGTGATGATCTGTTTAGGGTCGAACGTAGGCTGCCGAGATATTTGATCGGATAGTCGCAAGTCGTTTCGGTCCTTTCAGGTTCTGATGAAGGCGGTCTCGCCGAAACGTGCGTAAGCCGAATAAACTGCTGTAGCAACCTCGCGGAGAGTTTCCACAGAAGAATTTCTACATAAAAAAACTGTTACAGCAGTGTGAAAGAGTTACCAATGGTTCTGTACCAGTAGAGTAGGCCATATTAGGAGCAGGAGCGTCGGTCACCTCCATATGAGGAATGTTAGGTTGTCTCGTTACAATGGAATAAGCAGATCCCTCCTCCATCAATTAACCGCTCCCAATGCCCCGAAAGCGTTTAGACCACTGGTGCCACCGTTTTTTAAGTGCGAGTAAATTGCTGTTGTTATGAATTCGAATCGAATGACAACTTTGTAGCGTTTGCCGTCAGACAGTACCTTCGATTGACCAGAAGAAGCTGCACGGCTGTAGGTTGGGCGAATAAGGCGTTTGAACCCAGGTCTCACCAGGGAAGTCAGAAAAGTCATGGCTGCAAGTGACTGCTGTCTACTTGCGAAGGCGCAGCGCTGCCTTGTTCAAATGACGTACGCTCATCAGGGAAGTCTGCCAACTTACCATGGAACTTGATTAACTAGGCGCGAAAATTACTACCTAATACGGTAGGTAACGATCAAAAGTAATGTTCATGGTGGGTCAGTAGATCATTCCGATGTCTAACATAAAGTATTGTCATGATCCCTACAATCGATCGAGCATGTGAAGGGGCATGACTTGGAGCGCGGCCAGGGCAACCTTTCTCGCCAATTTGCGGACACAGGATGGCATCCTGGTGGAAACGACAGTCTTAGCAGCTTTCCAGCCCACGTCCCCTTGAACGTCCTATCGTTTGTGGGGATCACGAGCGTATATAGAACAACGTGATCACTGTGTTTATACTTCAGACGAAGTGCGATCGCCAATTTATGAAGTTGAGGGACAGTAAAGCTGAGCCGTCATTTGTGCAAAATACTTTGATTCAAGGCTAGTGCAACTCTGGGATAATAGATTGTGGTGCAATTCTGTATAAGCTACATCTGAAAACTGAATGATTTCCGAAATCTCGATATAAACTTTATTGTGAGTACTGTGATGTAACCTAGAGGCACAAAATATCGATCAGTGACTTCTTAATAATTTTTGATTTATGATTATAGGATGAAACATTGTCCTACTGAGTTATAATACTATATTGATTAGGAATTATTGGGTCAATTTTATGTAGTTGAGCAAGCCTTGTAAAATTACCCGCGAGAAAACCTGCAGATACGAAGTGGGTGGACATAAAATAAAGATTCTGTAGCGAAAACGCAAGAGTTACATTCGGTCATCGTAACAATTACACAAAAATAAACAGGCGAGAATAAATACAATAGATTGGGTGGAATTACTTCTGTCACAGACTCGATAACTAAGGTACATTTAGTAAATTGATTCACCTGGACATTGTAAGCGAGATGCTACTCCACAACACCCTACCTGCTAAGCTTCAAATATCTTGTGAAGTATCTGAAAACATCACAACAAAGAAGAAACGTTCTCATGTACAGGAATGTACTTCTCCAGCGTGTAGCGAACGCTGTTTTCTAGAACTTTTTCGAGACGATATCTGAAAAAAAAGAAGAATTCGCCACTGGCACGGGCAAGGAGCGTTGAGAGAGCTGAGAGAGAAAAAGAAGGAATAATGGACAAGTGCTCCGTAAATGTTCTCCAATACTACCAATTCGATATGATGGAAAGACGAATCACCCGTCCATCGAAGCAGCAGTTATATACGGGATACAGTGCAGTATGTCGTAGATAACTGCGACATACGATGCGCAGTGCCCTCGCCACTCATTGCGGACTCACGAAAGGAGCACAACCGCTGTGACTACTCGCCGTACTGCTTGGACAAAGAAGAAATCTCACAAATCAGTTGAGCAGGGTTTGTCTCTAAAGAGCGCACCCCGCGAGGTGGGTGGCTATCAGCTATCACACAGTAGACTATGGCGTACCTGTAATTAACCATAATTCCGAGACTGGCCTCAAGGCCTCTTTCACTTGTGTCTCCTTTCCAATTCAATCGGTACAGTTCTGCTCCATTTCTCAAGTGGAAGTTAGCTACAAAAGTCCATTTTTTAATACCAGCGCAACTATCGATGAAGTATATGATTTATATCGGTAGTATTTGTGAAGCAGTAAAAATTATGAGCTGATCTGCATATTTTTTTGTAGAAGGCTTGGACTGATGCGCTGTTTACTGCCCAAAATTAAAAATCGCGGTTTGCAACGTAGTCGGATCGCTTGAACGGCTTCAGTTGCGACACAAACAACGGACAGCCCCAGGTACTCTACAAACGCTGACATCCATTCAGTTCTTCGGACACTAGACACAGGTGATGCGTGCAACACATCTCCCACTCCGCACAACACTAGAAAGTACTTGTAAAAACCGTGCACCAACTTTTGCCATCAGGCATTGGATTTCGTGCGCAGATCGAAGGCTATTTTGACGCCTTTCTAACACGATGGTGGCCATCTGCCAAGGTTCGCCTCATGACCTGAGCGGCCTTGACTCAAACTTAAGATGCTTACGTTGTGCCCCTGATCGGCACTTACGGAACTTAGTAAGCAAGCTTCTCCACTTTGCTTTCTAACGTTTTCTGTTATAACGTGATTTTTGTTTTTTGTCCTTTTAGTGGCAAATCACTGTGCTTGCAAGACGGCCTTGTTTGGATTGAGGGAGGCACTCCTGTACACTTCTGCTGGGCAGTGATGCGAAGCATATGATAGCTCACTAATATTTATGGACTGAGAACTACTAATCCTTGCATCAGTTTCTACTACTGGATGATCTCCATTCGATAAAGCTCATTTCGTTGAGGATTCAGTGAGAGGTGAGCAGTTAGCGCAGCATTTACGAGTAGGCATGGCATTTGAACATGGCATAGGATGAATTACTCGTAATATATTTCATTTTGGGATAGCTGTCATCTTGTTCTGTGTTGGACAAGAAAATGACCACAGTTGTGCATAGCCACGGCCATGTTCTTGACATATGCAGCAACGCCTACTCATCCCAAGGATTTCGAATATATTAGGTTGTCCGGAAAGTTTTCAGCGTTTTGTGCACCTACTTTTTGTACATTCACTGCTGATTAAAAACTCATTCTGCCTTGCTTCTCAGTAGCAAATCCTGTAGAGAATTTCTTGCGCTATCTGATGGTATAATTGCCGTTCCACCATTGCTTGATAAACCTCCTTTTTTCAAGATTTTTTTCAAGCATGTGAAAGGAGCACTTCGGACGATTTTTTCTTCGACTATAAATTGGGGCAATCCGCAATCGAAACAGCTCAACAAATTAACCAGGTGTGGGGGCCCAATAGTGCTAGGGAAAGCACTGTGCGGCAATGGCTGAACTAATTTCGTTCTGGAGATTTCAGCCTTGAAGGTGAACCTCATAGCGGTCGACCTAAAGCAATATCTGACGAGGATTTTAGGGGGATTTTGGAGGCTGACCCATCCCAAACCGTTTGAGAGATAGCAGAAGAGATAGGCCTTGGCAAATCCACTGTTGCAGATGGTCTAGCACGCATTGGGAAGGTGAAAAAACTCGAGAATTGGGTGTCCCACAATCGGAGTGACCGGCAGGAATCGGCACGTCTCGAGGTTCCTCCTGCATTGCTTTTGCGCGCAGAAACGACCTGTTTTTGAGCCGAATTGTCACCTGTGATGAAAAATGGGTCATGTATGATAACAGGAGACGTTCCGGACAGTGGTTGGATTTTGACAGACCACCGAGGTAGTTTTCAAAGCCGAACCCTCACGAAAAAAAGAGTCTGGTGACCGCTTGGTGGTCATCGGCTGGTGATGATCCACTTTAACTTTTCATCACCAGGCCAACCATCACAGCAGAATCTCTACTGTGAAGAAATCGACGAATTGTACCGAAAATTTTGTCAAATGCAGCCAACACTTTCAAAAGAAAGGTCCGATTCCTGCATGACAACGCCCGCCCACACGTTTCAAATCACTATCCATAAATTGAACGAATTGGGGGTTGAAGTTCTACCTGAACCGCCATATTCTTCAGACCCTTCGCTCGCCAACCGACTATCACCTTTTCTAACATTTTCAAACTCCCTTGCTGGAAAATACTTCATCAATCAGGACCAGGCAATAAAGCCTTAGTGGATTTCGTGAATTTTCGACCACCAGTTTTTTACTTTGATGGGATTTTCTCGACTGCTGTCACATTGGCAAAAGTGTGCTGATTCGAATAGTGCCTATTTCGATTAAATCCGATGAGTATTAAAAAAAGTTACGATGGTTTAAGTGAAACACCCAAAACGCTGAGAACTTTCCGGACAACCTAATAATAAGGTCACGCCGCAGGTAGCCTCAGGAGGTAGATAAAAATGGTACGATCACACCTCCGTTAATTATGCTCTCGCTTATGCCTTGCCCCTAGGTGCGAGACATCATTAACGAGGTGCGAAGCGACCTCATTAAGCAGGGGGAAATCGTGCTCGAGTGCGAAGTGACCTCAATGAGAGATGAGATTCAGTGAGAGATCATTGAGTTATCGAAATCGGAATAAATCGAGTGAAAACTAAACTAACAGGAAATTAAAAAAAACATGAGGCTCACGAACAATTACTTTAAAAATGCTGGCACCACATGGTAAAACTCAACAAAATGGCATTGTGCTTAATTACTGATTGACCGTCAGTGGAAAGCTTATCCATATGGTCTTCCTAGTTATCATGCTATCGAGAATTCGGCGTAAATCGATCGGAAACAGCCGCTACGGCTTACGAAGACTTGGAAATCTTTGAAAATTACGGAGGGATTCCTTGCATATCGCTAAGATCTCACTGCCTGCTCTTCGGCGGGTTAGATACAGGTAATGACGTTCTGGCCTCGTCTGTATTGCCCCCATAACGACTTCTTTATCACTTTAAAGACCTCTGGCCAAATATAACACCTTAAGGAGAGGTCATGAGTAGATACTTAAGCTAACAGGTAGGAAGTAAGCACACAATTCGTTTATTTGAGCAACTTTTGCGTTATCATGTACTCTAGTACTAATCTACCATTCTTACACTATGCTGATTCCTGTTCTTATGTGTATGAAACCTTTCCAGGGTTCCCTCAGATATCGTGCCCCACTCCTTTGTATGTAACACCGCCACCCAATTTTTCCCCAGCACCAGCACCTTCGTACGACGTAGGGCTTGCACCACCACATAGTTTCCCCCCCCCCGCGCCGGCACCTTTCTACTACGTCGCTCGGGATCCAACATACACCGTTATCCCTGTACCACAAACTTCTTACTACGTGGAGCCCTTCTCTCCATACACTTTTTCCACCTCCCGGGTAACTTCCTCTTCAGCAACACCCTCGTTTTACGTGGATCACGTTCTACCGCGCACTACCCCCTCCACACCACAGCTTCCAGTTCCTGCCCCCGGTCCTCTACCGTCGCCGTAAAGGTTCAGAGGAGAACGACAGGTAAGTAAACAAGGGAAGCACAGTGTTCTAATATACAGAATTCCAGGAACGCAATTTGCTTACACTTTTGCGAAGCATCGAACGAATAATTAATAATTTGTACACTTGTTCTTGTTTAAGTAATAATAATAAATATCTGAAATATATGGCAATCTTTTTACCCACTTTACCAAAATCTTGCAATGGATTTATTCCGATTTGGATAGCTTAATAGCTTTTCCTTGAGGTGAGGTCAGCTGCAGTTGAGCACGTCGTGCCTCGGCTAATGAGGTCGCTTCGCACCTCGCTAATCGGCTTAATGAGGTTTCTTCGCACCTCGCTAATTATGCCTCGAATCCAGGTGCGAGAAGTCGTTAACGAGGTGCGATCGTACCATTCTTATCCTACCCCCTCAGGAGATGTTAGGTGATCACTGCAGTATTTCTACAGGATCTTACCGTACATCGCTTCAGCTAAGGTCCGCCACCCGGCTCACAGTAACTGGTCCACGGCTCAGTATAAGATATTTTACCCACAGCCGCCTGCTAACTTCGACAGCTTTGGCTCCGCCTTTGAAAGCGCGATACCAATAAGCTCGAACACAATTTTCCGCCATACTTGAATCAGTAGAAATTCTTTTGAAAAGTCTTTCCTAAGGATATAAGGAGTGCTTGTAAAGGATTTCTATTTGGAGAAACGAAGAACAACAAACCTACCCACGGGATTGAGGGCAAATCCATTTTGCCTTCTAGAAGTAAGATAGTTAGCACATAACCGGAGAAAAACATACTTTCATTTGCTCCATTTCACTAGTCGAATCATTAATGTTTGTCAGCATCTGTAAGTAGAGATAGCATCGTACACACCAGAAATTAAGAATTTCCGTGCTTCGGGGGAAAGAATTTCCGTGCTTCGGGGGAAAGCACACATATAGAAAAACATGTTTTTGGTCCACTTGACTGACTGACACTTAGGGTCTGGCGTTGCGCGATCCCCTTAGCAAGAATCTCGGATCGACTCTTGTCTGGGCCTACCAAACATTCAATCTCCTGGAAGATTGAAGTGGCTTCATTTGTTCGCGGGAGGAGTAAAAAGACTGGTTGTGAGTTATACAGTGGGTGGCCTCTGCAAGTCATTTATATAGGCAAAATCGCATCAAGACGCCTTCACGATTTTGAGGAAGTAGAAGGCGTGGCTCATCTCAGAAAATTATCAAACGGCTGTTCTAACCATCTCATCTTCTACAAATATAAACCGAAAATAACGAGGCTTCATTATGAGGTCGATTGGTATTTTTGTCGGCATTCAACAAAAACGCCACCAATGGCCTGGAAGGCGGTGTTCACGAAAGTTAGACACCAACGTCTACTCCTGCTTTGGTAGCCATCATATCCTCAGGGAACCTCACGAATAAATGAAAAATTTTCCTATCCTCATAGAGAATTCAAGGAAAAACACATTGTTTCCATTACATCCAAGCATTTGAATCTCTACCGATCAACGGGAGAGGTTTGCAGCAGAATGGTACTGCTCCACCCCCATCGACTGTTGCGGACTATTAGCACAGTGCTATTGGTTTCCTTGCCTCACTTATGGAAATGTTTACCTACGAGTTCAAACATTTTCTGGCTCAACAGAAATTTGAACGCGCAGTCCGCTATCAGGTAGAGAAGTCGAAAATATGGCGTCGGGGGGTAGATAGGTAGCGACGAACAAACCTTGTACCGGTTTTGCGGCAAAAAGTTTTAGAGAGAGGCGTTTATAGCGCAATAGGTCCAGTGACGCCTCTTTTTTTGTAGTGACTTCACTCCGCCTCCAGACTCCGCCTTCAAAGTCCGCCTTTCAGTGAAAAACGAAGCTGCAGGACGAAAAAGCATGAACATCATCACTTCTACGGTCGCCGAGTTCTTATTGGGGAATCAGCAGTGCGGATTAGAGCGTAAAATGTTGGAAGTGTTGGAAATAGAGTTGATTAGGCATGTACAACCTGCGACCGAATAGGGGCTATATTTAGCGCAGTTGGCGTGTTTTTTCTTCCATTTTTCTTTACGATCGAACAGCTCAGTACCTTGTCGTCTATATGGAAACCCCTAATCACTATCCGTGACGGCGAATGATCGCGGACTTTGCCTTTAACCATGCCCACCTCCAATTTAATCCCTGTGACCCGTATTTCCCCATCTTAAGGTCTGGGAGCACAAAATTCGCATTGGATATTGTAGATGGATTCCAGATAACATAAATAATCACACCTCTTTGAAGAAGTCTGTCGCTTGCTGTTTCGTCATATTTCTGCCAGTAATCTCCCTGATTCTCCCAAGAACAGTATCATCAATAAGCGTTCCTTAAAAGAAGCTCCAAATTCAAAAGGCACTTTGGAACTGAATTATCAAGTTTCACTTATTCCAAGATCAGATCAAAGTCTCCTAGAAAAGGATTACGAACCATAGAGGGAAGATCCATGCAAACGTCGCAACATCCAAGTCCGAAATCCCGGTATGGGAGACAACGTGGAGTGTATCTGTACGGAGGGTAGTTCGGAATGAAGTAGACTTGCTACACGCTTGATAAGCATGTTACCGAGATCGATTCCTGCTAGTCCTGAATCGTCGAAGAGTTAGCGGATGTATACCGTCTGTTTTCGTAATTTTCGAACAAATTTCGGCACTAGTTTGGGATAAACCGAGTCACTTCACAGACAGCAAATGCCAGGGAAAATAAAAATATTTTCCATATCAATCAGTGTTCATATGAAAAGTTCGAAGCAATCACGACAGCTACGATGGATCTTTTATAGTGAGGGCACAGCTATGAAGACAACCCACAACCTCTCCACATTACTTCTGATTCCGCAGATCAGGCGGTAAGGATTCTTTCTATAAAAGCATTCAGTGCTCATATGCACGTCAAAAAATAAATGATATTATCAAAATCCAACCGAAAATAACTCATGTATAACGAGAAAAGAAGCCGGAATAATCACTGTTTACAGCCACTTCGAAGTTACGGCCAGATTTAGAGTGAAAGTGTTCCCCGTAGGCAGGTTTACGCAAAACATTGTTCTTGACCCCTTGAACACGGGTATCATGCCCGCTTAGCTGAAAGCTACATGGAGCCCACGCCAAAACACCAAAAAAACACCAGATTTGTCGATAAAATTTCCCCTTGAACACTCTAAAGACCAATGTCACGCTGTCTTGGCATGCAAACGCTTAAAATGTGAGGTACGAGCACCGGCGTTAAAACACCTTTGGAGCTCGCGCCTTTGGCGCTATGCCTGGCGTTTTCGCTTCAAATAGAAGGAATTGGTGCTCGCGCTAAGACAGTCAAACTACCCCTCCTCGTAGACACATTATGACCAAACGACCTCAGAAGAAAGGTTACGATCAAGCTTTGAGTTCATTGGTGATTGGGGCAGTAAAGGGCGAACAGTGCCAGTTTTCAGATCTGTGCTCTAAAAATTTGCAAAGAAAATCGCATGACCAACATATCGCGAACTTTTAGCAGTGCTGCATGCCCACTCCCCCTCCCCCCCCTGCCATTGTACAGCGCATTTCGATGATCCTTTCAAGGCTGTTGGGAGTCCAATAAATACCTGCTGGAAGCCCAACAAATTAAACGCAGAGCGGGAATCATCCGACAAGTAGAATCCTTTCTTATACAAAGAATCCCGTTCCATGGGTCGCAAAGGTTTTGCCTTGTTCATAGCTCGAACACGTGATGGAGAGGGAGGCTGATGCATCGTTCACCACACCACTCACCAACAGCGGGCCAACCCAGAGATTAAACGTTGAGGGATGACCTGCTTTGTGTTTATCATCTCACTCGTCTTTTTGTTCACTCTATCTTTAACTCTAGTCTCTTACCCGCGCTCCCAGTGTCTCCTAGCCTCTGTCTTTCCCATGCACTAGATCGGCTGCTCGGCAACTCAACTTTCCATTCCTTGTCATTATAAGGAACACAGATTCAGTGGCAGCGCAGCACATTTCTCAAATTCAGCGCGATAGGTTCCCTTCATGAAGGACAGTCGTGGGCTTCAGCTATGAAATTGTTGGTGCCAACCGACTTAACACCTTCCAAGAAGAGCAAGGGAGAAACATGGGTATGTGGCAAGAGAATCGTAATAGCCGCGGAGGGCGTCGCGTGTGACGTCGCGACTGCTAATGCGACGATTTGAGGTGGTATTAGTGGAAAATAGACAATTTATGACCAAAAACAGACATGAGTGCCTACGATGTCCTTGTCTACTTGAAATCAGATGCTCCGATTGAAAGGGGTAGTGCAAATCAAGTAAGCGTCACGCCCTTTGCCGCGACGAAGTGGCGATTGACAATTCTCTTGCACGTCTCCCCAAATGCACACCACTATTTTCGAGCTGTTTGAGTACTGCGACTGAGTGTGACTCAGCAGGATTTGATGGTGCTTGCCAAATTTAGTCTCTATCTAGAATGCCACAGAAGTCGTCCTGACATCAAATCCAAGTTCTTTGAGTTATCAGAAGATTTGCACAAGGAAGAACCTGGTTGAGTAGCTGTGATGGAATAATAGATAGCAGTCGTGCAGTCTTGTTCCTCGTAGTCAAGATGCTCACATTCCACAATACTCTATAATGGAACACGTTGAATATATGTCAGCCAAAATGATGGGAAGCTTCAGAAAGTACCTGCACATTGTTCGCTATTTCATTGAGAAGGGCAACATGCACAACTACAAGAGGCTCTCTCGGCATTGCTTCATGCGAGAAGTAGAAACACCTACAAGAGTAGACTGCTACAATGTGTAGCAAACCGAAATCTTCTTTACAGAACAGGGCTTTGGAAATGGTACCCAAGTGCATATTCCACCCGCGTTGCCACACGGTCAGCCATAAATTTAACCATGGGCAAACGCACTACTTGTCTGCGTCCTCCCACTTCCGGTTGTTCTGTCCGCTGAGGGATTTTGGTATCGATACAGGCTCTGCAACTCGAAAATAACCCCAGCAGAGTTAACACATTGGCGACAAGGCCTTTTTCGCGTGTCTGCCGCGTGGGACAAAGCAATTTTTCCCTATTTTTGAGGAATGCGCATGAATGCTAGGGCGTTTACACACCAAAACACTTGCAGAAGGACTAGTAATCAATGCAGAAGCTAGTAAAATTTTGCTGTTTTTTTTACTTTCAAGGTAAACCCTTAATTTTTGTGGAATACTCCCGCCCCATATACGCGGAGCGTGGGAAAGAGGGCGCAAAAAAGGAATTTTTTGGCGCCAGAGGCAGTAAATTGGATTCGATCCAGATCTGCTATTGTAGAAAGTTACCTTATTACCTTAGCTATCCACATGTGGAGCTTGAGTTCTATTTATCCAGAAATTACCTTTTTTTCCTAAGGAAATCACTTTCCTTTGTATCCTCCGTAAAATACTCCCAATGATACAACTGCTAGTTTTACAGCTACTGTGTATTCCACAATGCCTTCCTGTACAATATGTAGCTGTTGAAAATTTGAAACGTTTTTAAATTGGTTTTTTACCCATGCCGCATCCCAGCAGTGGGGCGCAATGTCCCACGTGGCAAAAAAGGTGCGTCCCAGCAGTGGGACGCAATGTCGCCAACGTATTAACGGCACTCAGTCATCAGTATCCCCCATTCGCGTTCCCGCACAATGTTGAGCGGATAGAGTCGCACGCTACTGCAGGATGTTGGCCCAGTCACCTCCTACATGGCAAGCTCGTCCTCGTAGGTGAGTATTCAATTGTTTTTGAGAATAATCTTTGCAAATGGCTGGACAACTCATGACAAGCGAGGTAATTTAGGGTCAGTCAAATACTTAAAATTCAATCTAGTCACACTGTCACCAACCTTCGACCATGTCCTAGACGTTTTTTGAAATCAGAGGGGCCACTCACAGGGTGTACAGCCTCATACTCCAATACCTGAAACTTTTTTGAAAATGTGGATTCGCAGGTTTATTATCACCGCCTTTATTGAAAGACCACTGTTGAATTGCGACCAAACCACATCAGTTTTTGCAGAGATAATTTTGAAATAAATCTTTCATAAAATATCGGATGGTCAGGCTTCTTCCATAGCACACTATGATCACATGCCGTGATCGTGTCATGTAGAAGAGAGCTGTAGTTGTGTTTGCGAGTGTTCATTTCTATTGCTCTGTGAAGGTGTATCGACTGCTTCAAGCAATATCTGAACTGATGGAATTCCCAGAACAGGGAACTAACAGAATTTTGCAGTCGGAAGAATCGGCCCATAGCCTTTCGAAATTCCCCTACACATGGTGCTCAAGCTGGAGGGAGATGACTGCTTTTGTTGAGTGGGGTCAGTTTAATGTTAAAGGCAGTTGGCACGATAAATCCCCCAAGACGACTAGATCAATACTCCTGGCAGGATAGAATTCCGCGAGCCTGGGCAGGCGGTGCATAGCGGTTTCCCCGAGGAAGGTGCCCTTATAAGGACCCTATCAAGCTACAACTTAACCTTCCAAACGCCCGCCACGCCCGCCCGCCCACAAACGGACGACCGTTCCAGACGCTCTAATCGATTCATTTGCTAAGCAAATTATGAAGCGAGGGGATTGATACGAGGCGGCTGTGATGCTGTATGCATATATGAGTGCACATACGCAGCCGTATCTTCGGTAGCGGTGATTGGCAAGATGCCTACGGAAAACTGAGAACGGAGGCTTTTTGTTCGCAGGATTTTGACCGTTTCACTCCGTTCTTTCGCCATTTCCCCACTACACAGCGCCCTAATAGCATCACCCCATATATATCGCTTTTCTGTTTGTTTGTTGTTTGTAAGCTTGTTTGTTTTTTTGTTTGTTTGTTTGTCTACCCGGAAATTCGGTTCGACCTGAAGAACGACTTGGAGAGGTCGCGTCAAGGTGGGGATGGGTAGGGCGTGGGACAAGAAATAAAAAGCACACTTGACCTAAGGGAAGCCCCGCCCACAGTGGGCGGGCACTCCCCGAAAGTTTGGGGTTCCGCCACAAAAATGTTCATAATTCGCTTCCGGGCAGCCTAAAGGTGGGGGAAAAAGGGAATAAGGTTAGTAAGGAGTCGCCAGACTAACTGTGGCAGGTACACCTTAAATGGGCGGGGCGTACTCAAGGTGGGCGGGTGCTTCTCGGCAAATTCAGTACCCGTTCGCGAGAGTGTTTGGAAGTCGCAAAAGCTCAGTTTTGAATGTAAATATCTGGCGAATATAGGGCACGCTCAAAGCATGTTGAGGCCCGCCCACAGTGGGCGGGCTTGCCCTAAATCGCGCGGGTATATCATTTTAAATGTTTGTAGCTCGGTTCCAGAACACTCCAAATACCGGAAAAAAAGTGGATTAAGTTCAGCAGAGGGTCGTCGGTTAAGATTGTGGGCAAAAAATTGTGGGCGGAGCCTGCTCCGAGGTGTGGGCGAGCCAGACAAAAAAGGTCTGTAAAACGGTTCCAGAATACTCTAGACACCGGAAAAAAGTGGATTAAGGTCAGCAGAGGGTCGTCGGTGAGGATTGTGGGGCAAAAACATTGTGGGCGGAGCCTGCTCCGAGGTGGGCGGAGTCAGACAAAAGTTCTTTAAAACGGTCCAGAGCACTTCAAAAGACCGGAAAAAAAGTGGATCAAGCAGCAGAGGGTCGTCGGTGAGGATTGTGGGGCAAAAACGTTGTGGCGGAGCCTGCTCCGAGGTGGGCGGAGCAAGACGAAAATTCCTAAAACTGTCCCAGAGCACTTCAAAGACCGGAAAAAAGTGGATCAAGGTCAGCAGAGGGTCGTCGGTTAAGATTGTGGGCAAAAAATTGTGGGCGGGGCCTGCTCCGAGGTGGACGGAGTCAGACGAAGAATCTGTAAAATTGCTCAAGCGTACTTCAGACACCGGAAAAAAAATGGAGTACAGAACAAAAGGGGGATATCAGTTGAATCTAGAAATATGTGAAACAAAGCACGCGCGGCGAAGCCGCGGCGCCGCCGGCACAGCCGGCCGTATCAGAAGGAGCCACGCCGGCGTCAGCCGCGAGGCGACGGTATTAGGCTAAGTGGGAATCCATTCGTGCCAATTGCCTTTAATGCTCTCAGAAAACCGCTTCTCCACAGTTGTTCATAGGAAAGGTTTAATAGCAAATCGACAATTTTTTGAGGTGTTCCCTAAAGTTTTTTTTTTTCGGTCACCGATATTCGAGAGCAATTTAGCTCTGGCTATCGTGAGCGGCCTAGATAGAGTCCAATCTACCGATACCTTTGTAGGTAGCTCACAGGAGAGGAAGGATATTCGGCACTGTTCAACTATTACTATACTATACTATACTTTATTCTTTATCGCACAGACACAAATAGTGTTTTTGATCATTTGTGCGAAGATTCTCGAGGAACCGGCAGCGGGTGAATAATGTCGTCCATCTTCTAGTCATGTCTCTGGTCCTTGCCCCAGTATAACGAGCGAAGTCGTCCAGCCATCTTGTTCTGGGACGTCCGAGACCTCTTTTTCCTTGTGGTATCCAGTCAGTTGCCACCGAGCCCAGGAGTCTTGAGGGGACCTTCTGAGAGACGGCAGCGTAGGACCATTTTCTTTGTAGTGCCGAAACCACCCAATCTTTCAGCGATGTCCTTCTGCGTAGGATTTTGGATGAGATTTTGTCTGAAAGCCTAGCTTCAAGTATGGCTCTTTCTAAACGTCTTTGTGCTGTTCTGAGGCACATCGCCACTTCCTTTGTCCATACCCATGTTTCGCAACCATGTAACACTGTTGGGTAGGATACACATATTGATAAGTTTTCGTTTCAAACTCATTTCCCCCGAGGTTATCGAAGGAACAGTCGGTTCCTGAAGTATGAGGCACGAGCTGCTTGAATACGACTATGGATCACATCCTTAGGATTTCGCGGAACGTTATCCTTTGACCGAGATAACTGAAATGGTCGACTCGTTCGATTTCATTTTCCTGCACGTATAAGGGACCGTCGATATCTCCTAGATCGGCTTTACTCAATCTCATCCATTTCGTCTTCATAAAATTAATAGTGAGTCCCACTTTCTCCGCAGCATCGGCAAAATTTTTGCCATTATCCCAATATCTTCACAACTATGAGCGAGAAGGACAATATCATCAGCATAAGCTAGTGTACGAGAGAGTTTTGTTCCCTAGGTTCACTCCTTTGCCCTGCCAATCTATCAGATTCAGCGCGTACTGGAGAACTAATGTGAAGAGAACTGGAGACATTGAGTCTCCTTGTCTTACACCCCGCTGCAGATTGAACTCTGCTAGTTGGTTCGCCTATTCTGACGGCAGCGGTACTGTGTGCATACAGCAGTTGTATGGCCATTATCAAGTTCTCCTCCACACCAAAATACTCCAACGCTTTCCATATCATTGGAAGTTCCACGCTATCGAAGCCTTCTTAAATCGACGAAAACGGCACATAGCTCTATATTGAACTCGTGACATTTCTCGGAATCATATTAAAGTGTGAATATGATCTATGGTCGAGAAGTGCTTGGGGAAACCCGCCTGCTCCGTGGTAGAATGACTTTTCCTCAATTGTGGCTGTCAAACGGTCTGTAAATATTCTTGTCAGCACCTTATACAGCGTCGACAGCAGCGATATTGGCTGTAATTAGCGATGTTAGACGGCTCTCCAGCTTTGTAGAGTAGAATGGTGTGAGCGAATGCAAAACTTGCAGGCACAACCTTTGTCCTTATCATGTTGTTAAAAAATGTGTTATGGGTAGGCGAGTAGTTGTGAAGAGCACGAAGAGAAGGGGATTGAATGCCATCGGAACCAGCAGCTGAACGTGCTTTGCTTCTCTTCATTGCCATTTGTACTTCATTATTGTGGAACTGCAGATTTATTTGGCCTGATGGTGGAGTGGGGTGGCGCCGAATGAGGAGTGGTACATGTGCGTTATAAAAATTTCTCACTGCTTTCACTGACTGCGACACGTGATCAGGAAAAGGTTCATCTGATGGGGAGGGGTCGCCAGGAGGGGAGGAGGTGGTTTCTTTCAGGATTGTCAAGGATCTTCCTGCGTGTAAAGCTTGCATGCGCCCACGTCGAAGCGTCCGGACTTGATGGCTTGACGAAATATTTGAATATGTGTCGCAAATCTTCTTGGATAGATTTTCGGGCTAGCTTGCAATCTTAGCCATACTCCACGATTCCCCTCACATTATCTCCGTGACGTAGCCCTCGTCGTCTCTGGAGGAGATCCCGGGTCCTTGGTGATAGACGTGGTGGGAGATATTCACACCTTGTGTACATCTGAGTAGCTGTTGTTATGACGCGAGTAATGGGTATCATAATCTTTGATCGCCAGTCATCATATTTTCGTAGTAAACATTGAGCGGTTGAACACAATAAGTCGCTGTCGATAACGGGGAATCCTCTTGGTCTTCTTCTGGTAGTGAGATCGGATTCAGACGCATTTTACATCTTAACATGCGCTTATCACTCCCCGTGTAACACTAGTGAGCACTCCTACATCGACAACGCCCTTCATACTTCTCAACAATACATAATCAATCTCTTTCTTCAGTCCCAAGGCATCATTTCGCCATGTCCACCGATCGTCAAGTCTCTTTTTGAAGAACGAGTTAGCAAGAAATAGCTTTCTTTCCTCACAAAAGTCGGCCACATTTGTCCACGGTGATTTCGAACTCCTGAGGAATTGTTACCAATGTATCGCTCTTCATTACGGCGTAAACCAGAAGTTGCGTTTGAAATCGCCCAGAATCACTTGGTGCTTACTTCTCCTGGCATCGAGAACATGAGCAAGATTGTCTAAGAACGCCTCGTATTCCACATCTTGAAAATCTGAATGGGGCGCGTGAACTTGTACTATACGGAGAGTGCTCCTATCGGCTAGTTTCATGCAAAGCTCAATCATTCGTTCAGAATGAAAGAAACAATCGCCGTCCTGTTGATTCAAACGATGACGGTACATAAAATCCTACACCTCTTTTGGTTCGTTCCTCAGTACCACTATGATATAAAGAGTACCCACTTGAGAGGTCTATTCTTCCTTTGCCAGCCATTCGTGTCTCCGAGACTCCAATGACATCGAACTTGACATTCTCGACCGCGGCTTCGAAGTCGGCAAGTCTTGCGCCGCGGTGGCAATGGAACGGACATTCATGGTGCAAATGCGAGCCGGTACTGTCGTTTTGGCATACGGTCCGCGCTAGCCAACTGCGTGTGGACCGGATCGCCTCTCCTTTCTTCGGTGGTTGAGTGAGCAGAGAGTGGAGGAGTGGTGAGGTCGACCGCTCGCGGTGAATGAAGGAGGGAGAGTGTCCATCTATATATACTATTGCAACCCTAAAACTCAAAAAATGTTACTGCAACTCTGACTTGGGCCTTCTTCGCCCTGGTTGGAGAAATGGCATCAATTTTTGGCGTCGATGGGTTACAATTCATCGCCCCTACCTTTTCATCAGAACACGATATAACCTTGCATACGAAGTTGTCTGCCATTTCGATCACGAATGTGGTATTCGTACCTGGCGCCCCTGCCATTTAGTGTCAAAATGGCGCTAAGCTTGCATTATCGCCTTCATCACGAAACTTGATATGCACCTGCATACCACGGTAAATTTTACTTCTTTTCCCAGATATTACGTTCACCTTCAGCGTTGGTGTCATCTAGACCAGAATAGTGTCGGCACCTAGTTAGCGCCACTATCATCCCCATCAAAACCGTTGCAGACTCAAACTTGCATCGAAAGGTAATTGAGTAACTCGGTCACGAATATTACATTTTTCGGTGCCAACGTGATAAGCACTCTGGTAAGGCTCAGGCGAAGCTCAGGCAAACCGCTCGCTCGAAGAGGTTTCTCGACGCCCTGAACACCAGCAACACCCGATTTCCATAGTCTGGATGATGGAGCATCATTCCCATGTCATACTCGTAATCGGAGCGTTAAGTTACCCATAAAAGGAAAAGTTTCAGCAGAGAAGTTCGAGATTTTCGGGTGCTTACACATAATTAGTTAAGGATACTCCTATTCCCCATTCAGCGACTACTCACAGATTTGACCTCATCCAAGAGCTCCTTTCTAATTGCAAGTTGCACCAATCTCGTAAGTGGGCAATTAGAGCTAGAACTTGCAGGAAATTCATATGTACCTTGTGAAGAATATCTCCTGGAGACTGCCATGTCAATCTTTCCAGCTTCATATTACCCTGACAGAACCACAAAACAAGCAGCTCGTGGGCAGACTTCTCGAGACGATGCAACAACGATTTATCTGTCTCCGTTTTCATCAACAGCTAAAATTGCATCCTTCATATATACATTGTACTGGGAGTGAGACAAATATAGGGAAACGGTGGAGTCTACCAACCAACAAGTGGGCTCTCATGTCACAAATTTGTCGTATTCCATCAGGCAAGTTGCCGATAGACTGAAGAAGTCTAAAATGCACGGGGGTAGCCGCCTCTCGAACTTCGTGCGCTAAGCTTGGATTCTGTAAAAAAACCTCACACGTTTATATAAACAAAACACAGCAAATCAAATACGTGACAAAGCTCTTGGGCTGGGAAGGAGGCGCAAGATCCGTGGGAGGGAGAGGGGGAGAATTTTGAAATGTGGCCATTCTTTCATAGAGGAATAATTAACGGTGAACGTGTCCGGCGTAAACAAGGACATTAACAGAACAGCTTCAAGACAAGCTTGCGATCTTTTTTCGATTCGGTTTCGTTTTTTTGCGTCGTTACTAGTGCCAGCAACTCTTGATATAAGCACTGAGCCACACATGCTACCGTTTCAGGAGATCGCGAACTTATAGGCACGCGAAAGTGGTGAGCAACCCCAGCTAAGAAGAGGGTATTACTCAGCCTAACTCTCGACAACTCTCGATGTTAGCTCTCAAACCCGTTACTGCCAACGTCAGAGGAAGGGCAGCGTAGGGTGTGGTCAAACGCCCTTTAGCAGCCCTTCCACCAATGACATTGGCAGTGACCGCCCGCCCTCATCCATCGTGCCCATCGCCTTCAATCGTTCGCGACAGTCGACGTGCGGGAGCCCTTCCCTGACATGGTGGCGCGGTCAGAGCATATCCCACTTCCTGGATAAAGCGCCACGGTTTACCGTTGGCAATCTGAGTTCGCCTTCTTGACCTGGATCCGTCTTTATCATTTAGTTTTATCACCGCGATATAGTGATGGAATTCCGATCGGTTCTATATTCTGTCACCACACCATTTTTGGCTCTATTTTCTGCACTCACGATTAGCCCGTATACTATATGCTCAGTGATGCTCAGAGCGCTAAAATCTACACCTAACACCGCCTATGAACCTTGAAGCCAATTCTAGCCCTACGAATAATGAAACGTACCTTGCTGTAAATCGAAATTGCGTTATTGAGAGCCAATCGATCCGGCCCACATTTGGCTGCAATATTCAACAAGATATCTTTTTTGATTTCACCATCTCCAGACGAATACGCTTCCATCACACGTCTACCAACAGCCTAAAAACCGATTTCGGATTTGGTAGAACAGTTATTTGAGAGATGAGTGTTCTTGCGCCAGATAAGCTGTTGTTCCAAGGGCAGTCTTGTGTGCGTAGTCAGACAACAACTGATTCTTTTTTATTGGGGCGCTCTTACTCTTCACTGATTCGAAATAGAAGAAGCTTGAGGAAAACTGTCGCTACAAATAGAAAATTGTACATATTCCACACTTCTCTTGACTTCAGAAGAGTGTTACGATAGCAACCGAAGTCTTCAAACAGATGCGGCAACAAAACTTTCGCAAGGGAAGTTTCGTGAAAAACTGAAAGGAACATCATACGAGACATCATTCATCACAGAGTAGTGTTGTCGATTAAGACTGACAAGCTTCAACTTTTTCTCCTGTCGGTTTCAAGGCAGTGTAGGAAGCAAAAGACAGCGCGAGAGATGTTTTCAAGTTACCTTAGGAATCCAATGAGGAACATGTTAAAGGCACAGTTCGCGACCGCAAATTGCGGGAAACGGAACTCAAATAGGCACAAAAAAGTGCTAAGTATCTGATTAGCGGAGAAAAGCAGCAGTAAAAGCAGTCCGAAATATTATAGATAAAGATAACATAGTGGCTACTAGCTAGTAGCTAGCAGCCGGTGAGGGTCGGCATGGGCCTAAGGGGTGTCCATGGCCTAATTAGGCAGCTTCTAGCGGAGTTCTTCGCCGGTTTTTCACATTTTGAAAGTAGCGCAGCCTCAAAAAATCGCCTTCCGGGTCGTGCGACACTTTGAAAGGTCATAGACTTATTTTTCGCGGAATGTACCCCAAAAATTCGGTTCGACCGGAAGAATAACACGGAGAGGTCAGATCAAGGTGGAGATGGGTAGGGCATGGGAAAAGACGTAAAGGCACACATGACCTATGCGAAGCCTCGCCCACAGTGGGCGGGGCTTGCTCTGAATCATAGCGTGCCCATTTCCGAAATTTGCAGCTCGGCTCCTAGCACTCCAAAGGTCGGAATAAAGTGGATTAGGGTTAGCCAAGGGTCCCCGGTGAGGAATGTAGGGCATATAGACAGAGACTGCCCCGAGGTGGGCGGAGCCGGAGAAAAGGGTCTGTAAAACGGTTCCGGAGCACTCGAGGGACAGGAAAAGAAGTAGATCAACGTTAGCAAATTTCCGCCGGTTGAGTAACATGGGACACGTATTGTGGGCGGGACCTGCCCCGATCTGGGAAGAGACAGACAAAAACTCTGTGTACGGTTCCAGTTCCAGCACTCCAGACACTACTTGAAATGTGATAGTGATCAGGTGGGATCACCGGTCTATGCGGGACACATCCGTTGCAGGCGGAGCGTGCGGCGAGCTGGGCGGAGCCAAACTCAAAGATTTGTGGGACGGTTCCAGAGCACTTCAGACATGGGGAAAAGTGGACTGGGGTAAGCGAAGAGGAGCGGTTTGGGGAACCATTTAATTCGCTGGCTGACGCCGGCGCCGCTCTCCCTTACGGCCAGGCTTTGCAGGTTTCGCTTGGCTTCGTCGCGTCTAACTGCTTCCGTATTTTTGAATACCCGGCGTTCCTCTCTTTTGCGCACTTGATCAACACTGCTCACCACCATTTCATAGACGGTAGTGTTGAAAGTAGCAGGTTACTGGTCAAGGAGTGTTGACGATGCGTACAGGTGAAAGAAAAGCTGGATAATTATTGAGTATCCAAACATATCAAAGAGTATGCCCGGCGAAGCCGCGCCTGCCCGGCGAAGCCGCGCCGTTTCACAGAAGGAGGCATGCGGCGTTAGCTGGCGAGCCTACTGGTTCATATGCAGTCCAAATATCTCTATCTTGCCCCAGTTTACCCCTGACTTTTTGAACGGCTCAATAACCTTCTCTTTTCAAGGATCGCATTTGCCGTAAGAGCGTTCGCCTCTACTAAAGCGAAAACGTGTTACACACGCTGTTTGGTTCGTGGCTGGAAATTACGCGATACATTACGTTGTGCGAGTTACTCATGCTTTCGAAACGCTCATGGAATTTTCCTACTGTGGCTAACGAGAGAAGATACAAAAGGAGTAGACGTTATATCAGTATGATTTCTTAGCCACCCGAGAGTTTTTTGTACAGATATTCTGTACAGATGGTTTATTGTGCTAGCGTTTCAACGGCGAAGGGTCAACGTATCATCGAAAAGTCACCCAATCACCGTTTCTAAGTATAGCAAGAAACTACGGGCTAGGAGATCCTGGAACGAAGTCGTAAAGCTTCTATCCTCTTGACGGGTAGAAGTTCTACTGGGCACTCTGAGTTTCAAGACTGCAAGACGGTAGTTTTTATATGTTTTATCTGAGAGGTTATGGGTCAGAGGGCTCGAGGGGAACATACGAAGGACAGGCTATCCGCTGTAACTAGGATACAAAACTTAAAGACAGCGCCCGCGATGGGCTTTGGCAGGTTTTAGGGGTCACATTTGCTAGAACAGGTGGCCAATGAAGCAATAATCAAAAAAAAGCAGGAAGAAGGTGTGGAAGAGCGTGAAATAAGACCCTATGGAATTTAAGGCATGTGGACGAGTTTCGCAAACTTCTGGTGAGTTCTCCAATACACGTCGCCGCCTCGGAACTCTAGAAATTCAGCGTGTATCAATGCCAGCAAGCATTGATAACTGTCAACCAGTCGGGGCGGGATTAACAGGACAGGAGGCGTCAGTCCGGCTCTGTTGACTCCGCCTTCGTCAACCAATCGATTTCGAGCCGCAAGAGTGGGATTTCTGCTGTGATTGCGGAGTCCGCGTTCGTTTTCAATGCAAGGTTTTTTCACTTTGGTTGATCGCGGACGCTGCCTTTAAGGAACCAATTTGAAATGCAGGGCCGGTTCTTTGTATGTTCCCCTCAAGCCCTCTGACCCTTTACTTCGGAATTTAAAAACATGTAAAAACTACCGCCTCGTTGTTTGAAACTCAGAGCGCCCGGTAGATTTTTACCCGTCAAAAGCTTAGTCTTTACGACTAGTTCTAGGATCTTCTGGCCCGTAGTTTCCCACTGTAATTAGAAATGGTCATTGGGTAATCTGTTTCGATGATACGTTTCGACGCAGGTTCCGAAGGCAATCTTCGCCGAAACGTTAGCACAATAAACCACCTGTACAAATCTCAGGAGGCTAAGGAATCATACTGAAGTATACGTTTCTGATGCCGAGATTAATCGAAAGCCGATCGTATGTTATTTGGAGGGGACTTTCATATCCGTGATACCAGATCTTCTGGGAAACGTTCAGTAAACCGGCCTCTTCACTATAGCCTACAGTGGGATGCACGCGGCAGTCTGTCTGCCATCTGAACTGGCTGGACAAAAAATAAAAAGAAAACTCCTGAGCGATATCCCTATGAACATACAAGTATATGCGTGTACCTCTGACAAGATTTTTGCCACACGCGCTATCGCTTTTGCTGTTCCTTCGAGGTCTGTTTCTGGCATACGTGTTTTCTGACAGATGATAAGCAACCTGAACAGAATAAAAGGCAGTGTGGAAAACAGCTGATAGGATAGTGCGTCTCCCTTAGCGGTAAATGACCGATATCTGCACTTTAGTACAAACAAGAAAGTTATTAGCTTTGAGAAGAGGCGCGTTCATAACTGCAAACGTGCGGAATTGAACCGCGCGAGCTGAGAATGCGCGCAAAGATAAGTGTATGTATCGATCAGAAAAATCTGGAATCATGAGGAATCAGCATGTTCAGCATCCGCAAATCAGGTGAACGCGCGTCCCCCCCCTCCCCCCCCCCTAACAAAAAAAAAAAGCTAGTAGTCTAAATGATCCTGTGCGTCCAAAAACGCCGGTGGTTCGAATAATCCTGCGCGTTCCCCAAACAACGCCAGTAGTCTAAAGAATTCCCAGCCAATCCTTCAGCGCGCATACTTCGGACTCGCGGATTTTCAGAATTCACAAATTCTTGATGTTTGCTGCTTATTACCAGTCGGATCGGCCGGCTTTGCAGGCCAATCTTCCTCTAGTTGCGAAATGGGTTCTCCCTCTCACATTTTTAAGGGATACAGAGCGATCGGATCGTCCGACTTCGCCGGGTAGGGTACTTTCCTTGGATTCCTGCCAACCCACCCATTCTCTCGACTCGAGAATTCTCCACATTCGCTAGGTGGCTCAATGCGATGTGGCTGCAGCACGATAACTCTAGTTTCTCAGATTAGAGTCAATGCTCTCTGACTTCGTAGCGGGCGTGGCAGGTGCTACCATGTGAATAACTGTCAGTTAAGAGCGAGAGGGGTCAAGGGAAGCCCCATCGTTTCCTTTTGCTGCCAACACCCTTTTGTGCGAACGTTGTCTACACTTTTGCTTCAAGTGGCAAATAACCACTGCTGCCGCGCATGCAACTAAGACCCTGGACACTCCCGTTCTAACATGGAGATATCGTCCATGTAGGATAAGAGCACTGCGCTCAGTTACACTCTCACCTCAACCGCCAGCGTGAGACTGATATGACAAATGGAATCTCATATTGGAGATAAGAAGATAGCATGCTAATCGTTGCTGACGATGAACTCAAAAACACGTGGCTTGATGCGAGATTAGAACTTTGCACCACAGACCTTTGGTCGTAGGCCATACTTCCTTTCCCCCTTCCAAAAGAGGATAAGAGACTGGCACTAGAATTACAGATGGTGATCGCACTGCTCAACTGCTACCACACTTTTTCAAAGTTAGCCGAAGCCTTATATTTGGCTGAAAATCTGTCCCCACGAGATAGGTTTCTAGCCAATAGTAAGAACTAGTAGGCGTTGTGAAAATCCGCGAAAGTGCTAGGTAGAATAAGACGGCGGGTCTCGTATTTCCCTCGTTTCGCCATGGTGATCGCACTGCTCAACTGCTACCACACTTTTTCAAAGTTAGCCGAAGCCTTATATTTGGCTGAAAATCTGTCCCCACGAGATAGGTTTCTAGCCACTAGTAAGAACTAGTAGGCGTTGTGAAAATCCGCGAAAGTGCTAGGTAGAATGAGGA